CCTCCCTGCTCCTCCTGCATCAACTGTTTTAGTGTCTTCATCTGAGCGGCCCACGGACAGACCGTAACTCTAACCTTGTTAATGCTGCGTCGCCGCCGTCACCCGTTTGGCTAATTACTGTTCTTATATTCCCAATAATTCAGCTGGCTGAGCCCTGACCCCCCACCCTCCACCCCCCCGCCTGATTAATGACAGAGGGATAACGGTGCAGCACCACGTCCTGACCGGGCGTCAGAAGTGCTGCTGTCAGCAGGTGTCCACGCCGTGGGCCGGACGTGAGGTCGGGCCAAGGACGGCAGGCTTCCAGAAATGTTCCTCGTCAGCGGGTTCAGACGTTCTCCTCTCCAACCACGTGAGTGACTGTGAAGGTCAAAGTTCAATGATGCTGATTTTTCAACCTCTGAGGTGTTGTTTAAAAATCTTCAAACAGTGACACTAACTGACCACTTGAGGCAGCAGTAATCAGGAAAAAAGAAAAAAACTGATGTTGATGTGAATTTAATCTCAAACGTCAACATTTAAGGAAATGTTAGAAACTGTTCAAAAATCCATGGTGAAAATGATTTGGTGTAAATTTGTCCAAAGGGTTTTTAAACCGACAAACCGAGCGGACGTCCTCCCGTGTTTGGTTTGTCTCGGTGTCCAACTTTTCCAGTGTTTGTTCCAGCACTTTGTCCTTGTAGAGTTGAAGACATGGAACAACACTGAGATTAATGCAGCTTTAAAACCCATCATTGGAACAGGACTAATAAAAGTCCAATAAAAGACACGGTGACCCGGAGCTGCAGAACCCACCGTCAGAACTTTAGTTTTTAATCCATTCATCCGTCCTTTCATGTTTCCACAGCTGACACGGAGCCTCAGGCGGTGTGACCTCAGCACCGACCTCGGGTCACAACGCTGTGATGTTTAAAACTTTTATTTTCGCTGAGTCGTGCATATTTTCACCTTCGACCTTTATCTCAATCACGGGAGCTGCCCCCTGTGGTCACTCAGTGTCACTGCAGTCAGTTGACTGATGAACAATGTCTAAATATTCCAGACTTTGTTTTTTTGTGTGACT